TATGGACTATACGTAGAACCACTTCCTAAGCAAAATAAAATATGCATTGCACGTAGTGATGATTCACACCCATTGCCATGCTCATTAGCAAGCTCCGTCTCAGCATACCAGAAATATAGAAGAGAAGCATTTGACTGTAATTCCTGCTCAATAGTAAAAGATTAAAATAAATACGTTACGTAAATGCCAACAAACAAAATCCATAACAAACCTTCAGACAGAAGGCTGAAAATTATTTAAAGGAATCAATGTTCTAGTCATTCACTGTGAACAAAATACATCCAAAATCTAACAGCCTCATGAAAAATCATATCTAACAGAGAAAAAAAAACTTAAGAGGTTAATGAAATTGATATCAGACTTGAGCTCTAGAGATGGATAGCTCAAACAACAAGTTTACAGAAACCATGTGCAGAATAGCACAGACAAAGTCAGCATAAATGCTCAACATAGGTTCATTGTGATCACTTGTTAGCATATACTTTGAAAATAACAATCTCTTTGATGGTCTCAACATTTGCATGACTAACCTTGTAGCATTAGTGACAAAGCATAAGTTTAAAACAAACTAGGAGTATTATTTGTGCATTTCCAGAACAAACAAATATCGGTAGCTAAAATATACTATGAAACATATTTGCAATAAACATGTAGACCTTACCAAAGGAAGCCCTTCAATAGATGACAATGCCATGTCAAATACCCTTCTTGCATGATCAATATTCCCATGAAAAGCCTCCCTTCTTGCATAAACTCCACATAGCAACACATCCTATTTGTAAAAAGTGGCAAAGAGGACAATATCAGGTATACTATCATACAATCTGTTAGTCAGTAAGAAAGAGGTTGTCACTTTAGAGCATGTCAGAATGTGCAATAATTTAATTTTAGCGAATTGGCCCACTTCTCACACCTGCTACCTCCACGTATCACTGCATTATGATAAATGTATACAGATTTTTCTTAAACCTTCCACAATCGTGTCCCTCATTGAAAACACTTTAAAGCCTTTTTTACAAACAAATAAGGTAGCTCAAAAGTCAAAACCTGGAAAAGTGACTAAATGAGGCCAAACAATTCATAGCTTTAGAATTTCAGATCTGAAACCAAATAGGAGATATGATATGTCTGGCAATTGAGAATCAAATATAAATATTACCTGACGGTCACTCTTTAAGAGGAACTTTGCCAGAGCTCGGCATGGGGTAACTGAACGGCTGGAAGGATTCAAATTCATAGCAGATAGCTCTTCAGCAACTAAAGCAGCATCTTCTAGGACAAAATGACGTGGAAAAGCAGATAAACAGAGCAAGGTAGCATTACGAAGAAATTTCATCATGTCTGTTCTTCCGTAGATGTCATTGGTGGTGCCCAAGAGAGATTCCAAGCTGAAATTACTTGAACTGCCTTGTGTTTTGATTAAAAAATCATGAACCTTTCTCAAAGTTTGTAATATAGAATCTGGCAATGCCTCCAAGCTAAGGACTTTCTCGGCCCAAGTGGAGCTGTTTGTAGATATCCTGTGTGGATGAGGGGTAAAGGCATTATATTATTTGTTGATGAAATTTAACTCAAAAATACAAAGAAATGAAAGCAAACTTAAAGAAACAAAGGTACTTCTGCAAGTTTAAACACGACACTAAAATTTCCACTTTCATCGTGGAAATCAGATTCCTTTATTTTACAACAAAGCATATGGACAAAGAAAATACGAACATAAATCCCATGCAACAGTGATAAGATTATATAGATACAAGGCTAATAGGACCTCACCACTGAGAGCTTTTCCCGCCAAAGAAATCAACGAATTGTAACACTAGAGATAAACGGGCCTCAGATGAGCTCAAAGAAAACAGGTATTCATTGACATCTTCATACATTATGACTCTCGAAAGGTGCTCATCTGCTTCTCCATCAGGTGTACCAACATTATGAGAGACAGCAGCTGCATCATGTTCAACCCCAATATAAACTGTGTAAGAAAATCTACCGGGAAGGGTGCACGCATAATAACTTCAAGCACATTCACATCTTAAAAGAGAGAGGGGGTTAATCAACAGGAACGGAACAAAGCAAAAGAAAAAATATGCAAAGACCAAATGAAAAATACAAGCACCCATGAAAGAACACAACATTCACACAGAGAAGGAGTGAACCTCTTGTACGAACAGGCATCCATTGAACACAATCTCTTGATAACTCTTCTTCTGACCATTTGATCCAGGTTGAACTGTCTTTAATCTCACCACTAGCACCAACATCAACATCAATCCCTAGCATCTTTAGCAAAGCTTCAGTATCTTCTTCTTGCTTGACATCTTCATCCTCAAGTTCTTCTTGAAACTCCTCAACCACTACATTACTTTCGGACTCCTTTTCTGTCTCTATACTATTTTCCTTATTTTTTGCGAGTGGTTCTGACCAACCTGTCCAGCCACCTTCATCATCATGTGCAGTCTCCTCTCTGATAACCCTTTGCCTATTCTCTTCCTCTTTCTCCAACCATGTAGACCAACCAAGAGCACCTTCTTCTCCAACTCTTGCACCATCACTGTTCCAAAAGTGCTCGAACAGTATCTGTTTACTCTGTTCGGTGAGGAGTAAAGAAGGACAAAACAAACTGAATTCAATTTCAGCCTGAAATAGGGCAGTGGCCAACTCTTGATAGCCAGCCTGCCATTCAAACCTACAAAAACTGAGAAATATATCAACCAGACCAAGTTCTAGTTGAACTGTAGCAGCATCTGGAGGATGGTTTTCTGCTTGGCAAACCTGCATCAAATGGACACCACATTTAAACAAAAATAAGTTAACCTTAGAAGCTTGATAAATTATGGACACTATAGCCTATAGGCACTAGTTTCTTGTAACAGAGTATAGAATAATACAATCTCCAATAAAACAAAATAATCAGAGAATTAAGTAAGTTTAAGAACCTGCCTAATGTGCTTTCTGCAAGCAGAAGCTAGAGCCTGGATTGCATGTGCGTACATTTTTCTCATTTCTGAAACCTTGAACCTGGAGAACTCCCCTTGAATGACGCGCAAAAATTCTCTCCACAACTTGTAACTTCCTGAATGCTGTATAAGTATCTTTTCCCATCTACTAATTAATACATCAGAGTTGTCCCTCCTTTGATAAGCCTTTAGAAGAGGAAACAACAGTTCCTCATTATCTGGGTTAAGCTCTGCCGCCTTCTCCAGTATGCTAATCTTTTTTTCCAGAATCTGCAAGCGAGCACCTTTCTGGGGTTGCATATCAGCAACCCTGTCTTGGAACTCTGCAAAATCTAACCAAACCTTTTCGTCATGGGGGTGCTCCCTTGTCAGTTTGTTAAACTCACGTGTTTTGCGCAGCACTTCATCTTCCCAAGACTCTTCAACCACTGAAGTTCTTGAGAGTGGATCATCACCATCAACACATTCGTCATCAGATGTTTGAGCATCTGTTAAAGGAATAAAATCTCCGGAAACTGTAATGTCAAGGTCTCTGGGGACAAGTATACGAGCACGCTTTAGGTTCTTATGCCGTTCCAAAGCCATGTACTTTGCAGACCAATATCGACCAGCAGATTTTAGTTTCCCACCCAAAGCTTCAACATCAGCATCTCTATCCAATGTCGAACCTGTCTTGTTCCACCAGGACAAACCTCGAAAATCAGACCCGGATAGCTCAGCAAGACCATAAGGTTTGTAGCGAGCAATGTCCATTCTGCATTAGAATTACAAATTAGTTCGAGTCAATCAAAAGCTTCAACCTCATCAGTCATAACAAACGAATCCTACAAATTTGGCTCAATTCCTAGCATAAAAAAATTCATTGATTTGCTCAGAAAATACATATAAACATGAAAAATTTAAACTTTAAGCATAGTAATTAGCAATTTAGCACAATAATTTGACTAACATAGCAATTTATCATAGCAATTAGCAATTTAGCACAATAATTTGACTAAAATAGCAATTAGCAATTTAGCTGAAATAGCAATTAGCAATTTAGCTGAAATAGCAAAATACCTGTACAAACTTCCAAAGGCCAAATTGTCACGGTCCCCATGAGAATCGAGGTAATAATCTTTGGAAGGTTTAGTCTCGGAGTCGGCCCAAACCCGAACACCGGACTTCCTTGACCCATAATCGGCGAACGCTCCGCTTCCTCTCTCGACGGAGCTCTCTCTCCTCCTCCTCTTCCTCCTCTTACTCTTCTTCTTCTTCTTCTTCTTCTTCGTCCTCTCTCTCTCGTCGCTCCTATCGGATCCAGAAGAAGACTCCAGCATCTCGTACGGCTGCGCTTGCGACCGCACATCCCCCTGTTCATGTTCTTGCGGCGCGGGCGGTGACGGCGGAGGCTCGGGTTTGAAGTGTGCGGCGACGGCGTCGTTTATGGCGGAGAGTTGGGTGGTGAAGCTGGTATTAGAAAGCCACGGCGGGACGCTTGTGATTTGCTGAGAGGCGGGTACGACGGGGAAGAGTGACGTTTTTTCCGCTGCGGATGCTGCTGCTTCTCCATCCGACGGTTGTCCGTCGTCCTCCATTTTTCTCGACGAACGAAAATATGCAAATTGGCAAAATCCAATCTGAGGTTGGAGGGCCACGGCGTTTTCTACATTCTCCTCCTCTCCACCTCCCCCTCATACCACTGCAATTTGGGCCGAGTATTCTGATCCGGCCCATGTTCAATTTTTTCAATCCGCACATATTTAACTCAAGCCCAATCTACTGAAGCCCAACCCGACCACAATCCAATTACTTTTGAAAAAAGCACTTAAAAACGCAAGAAGGTGCTTCTCCGTTGTATAACGTTGTCAAAAGCGCTTTTAGTCATGATAACTCAAGCCCTACATTTTTATGTTACGTTCATTCAACTCGTTTGATGGACTGGTAGTTTAAGCTAATTGAAGGCAAACCGTGTAAGTTTGTGAGGACATGAAAGCTGCAACTTCTGAATGTTTTAAGAAGATAAACGGCATCCGAAAGTAGAGCAAAATTGGACAGGGAGAGTTTCACAAGATAATTACTAAATTACCTAAAAGAATATCACACACTCATGTACAACACGATTCCAAGATGATTTTCCCCCTCCCCCCGATCAAACAAAGCGAAGAAAGAAGAACCCTAAGAATACAGTCGGTGCGTGCAAAATTACACTCTTGGATTACAGTTAATTTTGGAATACAACTTGGTAAGGGGGGAGGACCGAAAGGTATTTCAAACAAAAACCAAACACACCTTTCAATGCATCGTGCAGCAACGCCGAGGGCCGAAATCTAACATATGTATGACCGGTTCCATTGTGGAATCAAATGCTGGCCCCTTCATAAATTGGACGCCCAAAACTCCGAAATGCAAGCGCAACTGCACTATCTTGTCTTTACCAAGAGCATCTTCATACCGTGCGAGTGTTCAAGATGATATGGGTTCGTAAGGATATGATAGCCACGGGTGCTTCAGAGCTTCAGATGCAGAAGGGCGCTTCTTCGGGTTTATCTCAAGCAGATGAGCAACGAAGTCTATGAAGCCTTGGTCCCCCATTGGAAGCCTGTGCCTCAAGGATGTCTTCTTTGGTATCAGGTATTCCAGTCTGTTTGTTTCCTGAAGAACAGAGAAGAACAGCACCGTTTACGAGATAAATAACAAATACATGAATACCTGTAAACTAAGGTTACCGGTGTTTGTACAAAAACGAACACGACAAAATTGGAGAAGGCTGATCTGTGAATTAACAAAGATTTATTAAATAAATGGAGTAATTAACTCAAAACCATATGGCTTACCTGATTCCGTTCATAAAGCATGTGATTTTTTGTGAAGTATTTGTATGTATCACGTCCTTTGGCTAGCATGCCTTGATCAATAGGGGAAATGATTCCCATCACCCGTGCAAGTAAAGTTGCAGGGGAATCATTCTGGAAGAGTACCTACACAAAGCAAGTTCATTTCTACATTTAGCACCAGTATCATGATTTTTTTCTTTTTCAGAAAACTTGTAGCTTATCGAATTCGAATCACAATATACATACATAGCTTGTACTGAGAAAGATTTCTGTTCAGTATATTATCTGTACTTTATTCTATGTACAGCTGAATCTCTGAATGAAGAACAAACATGATATACTGACACAATGATATAACTCCATTTCCTGCCTAAATGTCAGGAGAATATATATTCGGTGTATTGCAAAATGATGACTCAACCCGTATTGAGACATGATCAAAATTCTGGTATAAACTTCATATTTCTTTAGTTTGACTTTGCAGGCACCAAACTGTTCACAAAACGACAGGAATTTATAGCAACGTCGTTGAATAGACAAGTCTGCATAACAATATATAAAAAACACACTTGTTTTGTTTTGTCATTTATCAAAACACAATCTCATGAATTAGTGTTAAGTTGTTCATCTCCGCATCCACTAGAACGGATTTATGGATGAATCACAGATACTTATAAGGGGCAATAATATAGAACAATAATAGTCACAACTTCATGTACACAGACAGACAAACCCGTAATGTTACTCCTAATAAACCAGTATTCTTACAGAAGCTGAGATTTACTTCAACCAGCAGTCAGGTTAGAGCATAACATTAACAGATCTCAAATACCAGATAATTAAACAAAGTCAATATCTAGTAACCATGTTTGTAATAACTTAAAGAAACAGATACAACCAAAACTAAAATAACAACCACATGCTCTAATCAATAATCCAAACATTTGTATTAGGAAAATAAAATCTAACGATAAGTATACATAGATGCATAGCACTTACATTGCCAGTACAAAGTTCAGCCAAGATGCAGCCAAGCGACCATATATCTATCTTCTTATCATATGGAAGTCCCAAGATAACCTCAGGAGCACGATAGGATCTGGACTGAACGTAGGAGCAGAGATGATCCGTCTCAAAGCAACTACTCCCAAGATCAATGACTTTGACCTCACATCTACTGTAGCTTTTGACCAGTATATTCTCAGGCTTCAAGTCACAGTGTATCATGCCAAGGCCATGCAAAAACTGAAGCGCCTCTAGACACTGAATCGTAATTGACTGCATAAAAATTCAATAAACCTTAAACACCAGCATAAAAAAACTAAACAGTTGTCAAATAGAAAATGGAACTAAACAAACCTGCAGTCGTGGCATTGTGAAGTAGACCTCCCCTCCTGACTCCCGATTAAATTTATGAAATTCATACAAGTTTGCTTTGAGAAGTTCACATACTATTAACAAATGTTCCTACAACACAAAGTAAATTCTAACTAATTAAAATTCATTGAGAGAAATATGTAATTTATAAATGCACAAACAAGATCAATGCAGGAGGCACAAGTTGGGAATATAAATGACTGTAAAAACCTGCCCCCAAAGAAATCTCAATCTTGACATGACTAACCACAGAATAGATACACAAAGATTTCAAGTTTTTGCCTCCCTATGCTAACATAAAGGCACTGCCATGAAGCATATGAGTCCCAGGTACACAAGACAATGAAAGACGAGTCATACCAATCTAGCAAATAAATGGACACATATGAAACAATTATCTATCTCAAAGTCTTATAAAAGCGACCAAATAAGATAACCGCTCTCCGGGGTAGTATCGACTGGTTGAAAGGTTTGAAAGAGAACGTTGTTAAAGTAAATATCAAATTGTGCATTTCCTTACTCGATAGTAGAAGTAATCGTACAACCGAAGAATGTGATACTTGTCACCAGGATCATGCTTATTGACGTATTTGAGAAGCTTTATCTCATCAAGGCTCTGATCAAAGAAGTCTTTGTTGTTCTTTATAATTTTCACACACACATCCATGCCTGTATGTAGATCATGAGCTTGTATGGCTTTGCTGAATGCTGCTGATCCAAGATATTCAGTAACATGATAGCGGCCAGCTAATACAGAATTCAAAACAACTTGAAAATTTTTGTCCTCCTCAAAGCCAGTTCTGTGGAACAAAAACATGGGGTTCAAATCAGAAGAAAGTCAAGTAGCCAATGATAAAAAAAATAGCAATGAAGAGCTTCAAAGTAGCGAGAAACATCAGCAAAAGCCGAAAGACTAAAGTCTATCACAAGAGTACACGTCTCTCAACAGAAGAAATCACACAATAAAGCTGTTTCAAATTTAGGGGGATTGTGTTGTCATAATGCTGTTTTATGTTATACAGAAAAAAAAATAAAGGAATCAATGAGAGAGATAGACAGATAGATAGAGGGGAGTAATTAAGGTATTATTCTTCTATCTTGAAGAAAACAAGGTCTAACACTACAGTTTCAAAAGTTTCCAGAGCATTTCAAAATGTATTATTGGTGTAAACCTGTAACGAACCATGATCAATTAGTTTATATTTGAGATTGGTGAATAGGTGAGGACGTGCCTGTTTTTCCTGTGCACAATCTTGAGGTTGAAGGTCTCAAACTCTTCCTCTTGAGCCTTTATTTGCCTTACTTGTTCTTGCACAGCAGCCGCCTCTTCATCCTCAAGTGATGCCCCCGTATCTTCTTCCCTAACAGCAGCAATTTTCTCATCTTCTTCTTGCTTGGCGTGCTCTCTTTCAGCATAAGCATAATTAGAGAGCGTTGAGGGAGTAGAGTTTGTGGATCTAACAGCATTAGCATTTCTTTCATCCCTAGAACTCATTCTAGGTGAGGACTCGTTACTTTTCTCCCTCCATGAAGCAAGCATGTTATCATCATCAGGTTCTTCAGTGACAACAGCATTGAAGTTGTTTGACCATAACGGTTTACTAGAGCTTGCCTGCACCAATTGTCCATCTCTCAGTGGCGGCGGGAATGAAAATCCCCCTTCTGAATGATTTTTCTTCTGTCTAAATACACCATTATCATTCTCAACTATATATTTACTTGCCTCATGTTTACTAGTTTTCTTCTTATCCCTCTCAAGTCTATCAATACGTTTCTTATCTGAGTCCTGATGATTCTTCTGTGGCCCACCAATTCCTACATCATGGTCCCGAAAGTATTCTAGATCCCCTTCACTACTGCCACCAATCAAACTTTCCCGCACTTCGCTGCCGATATCAGCAGCATCGCTATTGATTCCCACACCTATTGATCTTACTGAACCAAGCTGGTCGTCATCCACACAAACCTCCTCCAAACGTGGCCTTCCACTCTCATTCACAACTTTCCCATTCCCTAACATGATGAGTTCATTGGTCTGAGTGACAAAGCCCTGCCAGACAGGTTCTGAACGCATTAAATTAAGCTCCTCTTCATCCATCAATTGTCCATCATATTGAGCTATTAAACCATTATCATCAGTTCTCCCATACAATTCAGTCACTGATAATCCTATAGGATCATCTGAACTTATAATCGGTTCAACATTTCGCTTGGAAGCACCGCTCACCAGAGAAATAAGAATCCTCCTCAGCAAAAGATTGATCATCATCCTCATCTTTGGTTGGACCCCTTTCCTGTGGATCTGGAACACTGCCATGACCTGTTCCTTTTTCATTGTCACTAGGGTAATCAATTTCATGGGCCAAAAACCACGCCTCATCTTCAATCGGTTGTCTCATGTATCCGACATCATCATCATCATCATATTCATCAGAGTCCCAATATGGGTAGTCAATCGATTCACTCAAACCATCACCAACAGTAGCAAAACCAGAAACCAGATCAGATGCGTCCTCTGCAATCCCCTGACTTACAGACAGCCAACTACCTCCTACAGGCCTTTTTCCACCTGAACCATAATCTTTAAAGAAGAAATTAGAGACTAGACATATCAAAACAACCAAGATAATGTGACAAGAAATTTGACTTTGAACAACTTCAGAAATCCAATATTTGAGGAATGTTCAAGACAAACTCTACTTATCTAAGCACACAAAGGAATGGGTAAAAATGATCATTGAGGTAAAGCACATACGAATAAAAAGGTGTGCAATGATTTTAAGTCTTGAAAACCAGTAAAAAAAATTAAACTGACGTCTGCAATAGCTACCTAAAACAAAACAAAGTGTATCAAAAACTAACCTGAAGAGTTGATTTCTTGTCCAATAGGTACATCCAAATATGACCCAATAAGATGAGCATTGTCAGCAATGCTGAGTTTTGCGCCTGGTCCGTCTCTTTCAAACTTTTCCTCCCAATTAACATTTGGTTTGTCCTCTGACTTGAGTTTGACGGGTGGCAGCCTAGGGAACTCTTCCTTTTGATTCTCAGACAAAATAGGAAAAACTAAATTACTAATGGTCTTTTGCTCAGAAATCCCTTGTGACTGGCTTAAGTATAAAGCTCTTCCCACCTCATCAACCTGCTCCTTTACTGTTGCCCTAATATCAGCCAACTCAGTTTTTCTCTTTCCTTCTTTTTTGTCAGAACCAGGAGCACTATCATAACTCGTTGACACATCACCCTTGGAGAAAGGAAACGCGGTCTTGACGGAACAATCTTTCCACATCTCTGAAGGTGGATTCGTTGGTTCTTCGATTCTTGACCAAGGATTCCCTGCTGCATTTTCTTTGAAAACCATGGTACTCGTCTTAAGTTGTTCAAGTTCCTTAGGTTCGCTTGTTTGGGTTCTGTCACACTTGAATTCGACACTAGCTTTGCTAGTACTTCCAGACCAAGAGGTTTTCTTTTCACCAGAAAAGCTAATCTCTTCTCCATATTTCACAATGGCTTTACCTGAATCAGGAACTTCAGTTGTATGATTCTTTGATTGTTGGGATATCTGAGGCTCTGGGAAGTTAGCGATAATACCACCACCATCATTTTGATAAGGTTCTGCAGGTCCATTGCTCGGACTGGACTTCCAAGAATATAAATCAAGCACGGTGTCCTCTAAACCTTTAGAGAATGCAAAGCTCTTGTGATTTGTCCCAGCCACCTCAATAGACTTATTCCGCTCCCCAATAGAAGCAGCATTTTTCAATTTGCTTTCAGACCCATTTCTACCAGTTCCACACTCTATCTCTTTCACTATAAGTTCCTTATAGACTTCACCACCATTCCGAGATCCCAAGCCTTGATTTTCCACCACTAGCTTGTCCCCGTTTTCAGCTTCCAACAAACGACCTGAATCCTTCTCTTCAAGAGTAAGCTTCTGAAGGAAACCATTCAAATCAGAGCGATTACCAAGCTCACTTCGCAGAGCTGCCTCTGCTCTTGAAAACCTATTCTTCCGCAGAAAGTCCAGAATAACGTCAACAGAGTTTGAGTCCGCCATTTTCAGCCTCCTAAAACCTACAAGCATGCATCAAAAACTAAGCACCCACCAATCCTGAGAACACACCATTAACAAAAGTTCAAAAATCTATCTTCCAGTTTGCCTCACTTTTCTAAGAAAATGAAAAACAGAGCAGATTTTCGAAAAATAAATAAATAAAGGAAACGAAATTGACACTCCTTCCTTCCATATAAAGTGAAGAAGTCACCTTGTATTAAGCTCAACGACTGGCGCCATTTTGTCTTCTACTGTCCTGAGCAATGAAAAAATGGAACATTCAGAATACCAAAAAAAATCATTTCCTTTCTCCCACTTTTTCCGAGCAACCAAACAAAGCAAAACCATTCAATTTTTCCCCAAAAAAAAAAAAAAAAAAAAAAAACCCAAGTTGTATTCAGTAGAGTGTGCCGACCCGCCTAAAAGTCTCATTACTTTGGGTCCCGAAACCGCTTATTCTCAACGAGGATCCGGCATTTACAAGCAGGCCGAAATTCCCAAATCCTCCACAAATAAAAATTTACAAACCCTTAAAATCCCAACAGATTTACGAGTTCGCGGAGTGGGATTCAAATCCCACGAAACTTTAATAGCCATTGGACCAAAACACTAAACTATTTCTCGGCCGGAGAAAATCAAGATCTGATTTTTAATTTAAACCCGTGATTCTTTGGGGAAAAGGATTTGTGGGTATTGGAGAAGGGGACAAAAAAGGTTGAAACTTGCAATTAGAAAAGAGAAAAGGGGGTTAGAAATAGAGAGAGCGGCGGAGGAAGAGAAGATAGTCACCTGGTGGGAATGGGAGTGACCGGTTGCTGCTGGCGCTGCTGCTGCTGCTGCTTTTGTTTCTTCTCTACGTAGGCTTTCGGGCGGGGCAGGCGTGGTCTCCTGAATTGAGGTGGAGCCTTGGAGGTGGTCCAAAACCAATAGCTTCTTTTAGTTTTAAAATTTAGATGCCAATGGAATAACTTGAATATATTCACTCTATATACTCTCAACTTTATGACCAAATAAAAGTACTAATAAGTCACCATTCTCGTTTATTTTTATTTTTATTTTTGTAGGCGTCGTTAATTTATTACATTGCATAAATTGTTACGACTAAGATTTATTTATTTATTTATTTTTCTCAAACAATAGATTTTATTAAATTTAGTATTAAATTAACCAATAACGGTATTTGAACTCACGTCGTCATACAATAACACCTTTTAACCATTGTGGTAAAATACCACTTGCACGACTAAGATTTATTTTGGCACAAATGAAATGCCACACTAATTTATACTTGAGAGTTCTTTTAAAAAAAAAAAAAACTAATGAAAAGGGCTTGAAAACTTTGAGTTTTAATAATAAGGACAAAATAAATGGTAAAATGAATAGTACTAGATTTGACTTTTTAATGTAAAAATATGATTTTTCGTTAAAATGAACAATACCGCGAGCTTTTCATTAAAACCACCGTAAATAAATTACTCTTGAGAGGGTTTGAAACTTTGAAGTATGACGCAATAGATTGTCAACATTGAGATAATCGTAATAAATTATATAGAACTCTAGAGGAAAACATCAAGAATAAAAAGTTGGCAATTACTATTTTGAATTATTAAAATAAAATAAAATAATTATTTGTACATCAGCATGATAGCATCTAAGTTGTCTGTAGTTCCGCATCTCTTAATGACATGATAAACTTTCTAAATAACAGTAAAAAGACTGTGAAAACCAAATTCACACTACTTTTATCCTAAAAAAATATTTATGACTTTTGTTGTTATTTTAGTTTTTCTTAACACGTGTTTTTAAGTATCATTATATGAGTTGTGCTAGCGTCAATCGTAGTATTATTTTAACACATTATGAGTGCGGCATGTATTTTGGGCTTCTCACTGTCCACTTAGAAAAAATTGGGCCCTCCACCATTGGACACAATTGGTCTCCCTCGGAAGCAATGTGAGCCCATTTTCCCTCGCTGGGCCTGGAGTTTACATTTCTCCGGACAAAACGAAGATCTGGTTTGGCATCCAAAGAAAAGATGGGCTGGACTTTATGTGTGAATAAGTCCATGATTGGTTCAATAAGTTGTGGTGTTCGGAGGTCCGTTTATATTACTTTGGACAAGACGAATATTTGACTTATATTACTCTAGACTCATCCGTTATAACATTTAATTTTATAGGATTTAACGGTTATTGTTCAGATGTATAATTTAAATGTGTACTTTTGACATATACTAAAGAAACCCTTCTCCCTCTCTTTACTAGTAAGCCACAAAAACCACAAGATGATAAAAAGACATTCAAATATAAACGAATAGTGGATGCAAGTTGTGTGTGTCTGAATAGAATAGAAGGGAACTAGGGTTGAGATTGCTTTGCGTTAATTCTTCGACGAGAATTAACATGCAAATACAATCGTATTTCAACGATTTCCAACCGTTCAAAAACCGCACATTGACTATAGTAGCAACTGTTCAAAAACCAGGCATTTGCATGTTCAATTCATGCATTCATAGAATAGAATTATGTGTGTGTAATTTTGGTTCATTAACATGGACGTGATTTCTTTTTTTTCTTTTTTTGTGTGTGACAACACGTTATTGTTGCTTAAAGCCGTGAAAGTACCACAATGAGCATAATATGATATATATATATATATATATATATATAATATGGTTCTCAAATTAGGCTACTTGGGCCATAGTTCATAAATTTATAGGGGATGCCTTTCTTCCTAAGCAATCACCAACTAATTTATTTGTTCTATATAATTTAAAACTCAAATGAAATGTCATCATGTTTTTGCCCTTTCTTTTAGATCAGCTATTAGCTTTCTCACGGAAATCCACTTATTCAAAAATCAAGAAGATTCACCGGAGTATTTTCAACCTCGGTTGAGATAAATAGTTGGTCTAAATAACAATAGCAACTTGACCAAATAAAATAGCACGGTAGCATTTTGGTCCAAAAGCACAATGAACATTGTGCCCAAACGTCATTGTAACAGTACAGTGGACGCCCAAGACCTTGGTGGAAAAAATTGGTCTAATTTTGAGATCGCAAAAGGGAGGAGGCCAAGGAATCATCCCACGGCGTTGACCAACAAACCACCAGATCTCTCATCCTCACAAAGCAAACCAATCACGTGCGACCACGTAGACAGAGAAAGGAAGAAATAAATAAAAAAAAGGAGAAGCTTGAGACGCACCCAACGGCATTAGGTAGACACCAAAGCGTCGGTAAGGGGTCAAACGTGGTGAGGCACTCTGTCTCCGTCACAAATTGTTCCCCGTTTGGCCTCATTTTTATTTCACATTAAAAACAAAAGAGTAATGTTATTCATATCATATTTTTATACCATATTTTTATATCATTTTATATGGCATTTGATGTGGACAGCCACATCATTTGAATTAATTAGATTTTTTAATTTAATTCATTATTTAATAAACTAATAATTAAGAAAAACTAGTTAATTAAATGATGATGGTGGTATACGAATAGTCTTTCTCCTTCATTTCCTTGAGTTTTGCAAATTTTTCAAATGATGTGATTGTCCACATCAGATGTCACCTAAGGTGGTATAGAAATATAGTATAAAAACATGGTATTAATAGCATTACTCAAAACAAAAACAAGTTATTTCCACATTAACTAATAATTATTTCATATGCATATTAATGAAATCTTTATTTCTTCTAATCAATATTACTACTCTAAGTTATATTCAAATGGAAGAAAAATATTAAAAATTCTGACCATAACATCGTTACTTGCATTTTTAAGTAAATAATAAATTAATAATTACATTGTGTGAGTTACGATTTTCTGATTTTGTACATGCAAGAAAAAATTCAACACAAATATGTTAATTACGTGTTTACTTATTTAAAATTTAAGAACTCATGAATCTAAGGAGATAAAAAGGAGTAAATTACATTGTCATCACGAACCTCCAATTGATACGGTTCATGATTTTCAAGTATTTTACAAATTATAACGTGGAATACATACTTTTTAGCGTAATTAGAACCACACATTATGATTTTTATCTCACACATTTTTGTTTGTTTATGACGATGGAATTGAATAAATAACATAAAAGTTGTAAGTCCAAAAGCTTCACCCCCAAATAAATATATAAACCAAAGACCCAAACCAAACCCAGGAAATCAAATATACCGAACGTGGTTGTCTTATCTCTGCAGAGGTTAGAGAGAGAGAGAGAATGAGGAAGACCATGACTGTAGGAGTACACTGCATCATCGCTTTGCTAATTCTGTCCGGTGCGGATCTAGTCAGGTCCGACGGGTCGGATCATCGCTACAAGGAAGGAGATTTAGTCCCTCTGTATGCCAACAAGGTCGGCCCGTTTCACAATCCCAGGTAAAACCCAACACTCCGCACTGCTCGATCTCAAAATTTCATGCTTTCTTAACTCAATTCAGCTTCTGGGTTTGTTTATTTCGCTGTTAATTGTTATGGATCTGAGTTTATTTCCGCACCCATTTGTTTGGTTACTGAGAAATCTGCATGAATTACAAGTTCTGGTTCAGCTGGGATAAGCTAGACATTGTGATTTGGAAATTGAATTTACATTGGCTATTTGTAAATACCAGAGCTTGATCTGTTTTTGAAAGATTTGATTTGGGTTCTTAGTCATTTACAATCAAGTTTATGAGTCAACTGTGTTTTTGGGTTTTCGTCGAAATTTCATGTGTACTGTAATCCGAAGTTTAGCTCTGTTTCTGCGCTGGATAGCAAATTGTATGTTAGTTTGATTATGGTGGAACTTTGGTGTTCCTGATGGTCTAAAGTTTGGTTCTTTTTGTTTTTTCGGTGCTTCCAGTGAAACGTACCGCTACTTTGATCTCCCATTCTGCTCACCAGGTTTGTATCAAATCGATTCGTTTCTTTCGTATTTACTTCCTTAATCTTCTCCGAGGAATTGAATTTGCCTCATTATTTGGATCCGAATTGTAGGTGCGGTGAAAGAGAAAAAGGAAGCTCTTGGTGAAGTATTAAATGGGGATCGTTTAGTCAGTGCCCCTTACAAACTTGAGTTCCTAAAGCATAAAGATACCGACGTAGCTTGCAAGACAAAACTCAAAAAGGAAGAAGTGGCCCAGTTCAGATCTGCTGTCAACAAGGACTATTACTTCCAGATGTATTATGATGACTTGCCGATTTGGGGTTTCATAGGGAAGGTTGACAAGGAAGGCAAAGACCCGAGCGAGTACAAGACCTACCTTTATAAGCACATTCATTTTGATCTCTATTATAACAAGGACCGCGTGATTGAAGTCAATGTTCGTACAGATCCAAATGCATTGGTTGACCTTACAGAGGATAAAGAAGTTGATGTTGAATTCATGTATACTGTAGAGTGGAAGGAAACAGCCACTCCTTTTGAGAAGAGGATGGATAAGTATTCTCAGTCCTCATCGTTGCCTCATCATTTGGAGATCCATTGGTTCTCAATTATAAATTCATGCGTGACAGTTCTCCTCTTGACTGGGTTTCTTGCTACAATTCTCATGCGAGTGCTTAAGAATGATTTTGTCAAGTAAGCATATTTAGTAATCCTTTTGTCCCTGTTTTATGTCTGCCGGTTCACCCATTCTTATATATACCTTTTCTTTCTGTATAAAAGATATGCCCATGATGAAGAAGCAGCTGAAGACCAGGAAGAGACTGGATGGAAATACATTCACGGCGATGTATTTAGGTTCCCCAAATACAAGTCCCTGTTTGCAGCAGCTCTTGGTTCGGGAACCCAACTTTTTACTCTGTAAGTGCTCATTTATCCAGCTATAGGTGCAGCACTCAGTTGTCGAAGTTTCTCATGTTTTTTTTCTTTCCATTCCATGCAGTACGGTGTTCATTTTCATACTCGCGCTTGTTGGTGTGTTTTATCCATACAACCGAGGGGCTTTATTTACTGCTCTGGTAGTCATTTATGCACTCACTTCAGGAATTGCGGGCTATACTGCTACTTCATTTTATTGTCAGCTAGAGGGATCAAACTGGGTATGTAATGATAAATTCTCCTTGCTATGGTTTTGGTATCATTGATTGAAGTTGATGTTTTAATATTGAAAGGTTCAAACTTTCTGGTATGACAGGTTAGGAATCTATTGCTGACGGGATGCCTCTTCTGTGGACCTCTGTTCCTTACATTCTGCTTTTTGAATACTGTTGCAATTGCTTATACGGCTACTGCTGCCCTTCCATTCGGCACGATTGTAGTTATAGTTCTGATATGGACACTTGTAACATCACCTTTACTGGTGTTAGGTGGGATTGCTGGGAAGAACAGCAAAGCTGAGTTCCAAGCCCCTGTTCGCACCACTAAATATCCGAGAGAGATTCCACCATTACCTTGGTACCGGGCAACAATCCCTCAAATGGCAATGGCCGGTTTTCTGCCCTTCAGTGCTATATACATTGAACTGTATTACATATTTGCAAGTGTATGGGGTCACAGGATTTACACCATTTACAGCATCTTGTTTATTGTGTTTATCATTCTTCTGATCGTCACTGCTTTCATTACCGTGGCATTGACATATTTCCAACTTGCTGCCGAGGACCATGAGTGGTGGTGGAGGTAAGCAGCTATTATTATCTGTGCATTCTAAGTTTGGTTAGGGTTTCTATGCAAGTTATTATACTTTTTATTCTTGTTGTAAACCAGTTTCAATTTCAGAAGATGCAAATATACTACCTTGACTGATGTATACGTTGGTTTCGGTACAGGTCTTTCCTCTGTGGTGGGTCTACTGGACTATTTATCTATACCTATTGTTTGTATTACTACTACGCACGCTCGGATATGTCGGGATTCATGCAAACATCATTCTTCTTTGGTTACATGGCATGCATCTGCTACGGTTTCTTCCTCATGCTTGGAACTGTAGGCTTCCGTGCAGCTTTGCTTTTTGTCCGTCACATATACCGGTCGATCAAGTGTGAGTAGTAGCTTGTTCTCCATGAATCATCGGATATGGTTTCTCGTGTTTTTGGAGTCACAGGCACCCCTGTAGAGAATTTGGTCAAATTAATTTTGTTAGTGCTTGGTGTACTAAAGCTGTAGTCGTGAGATATGTATGCTTCCGGAGCAATATGTTAGATCACAATATGGGCGACTATATTCAGAGACAAGTTTGTATCTTTACCTTTGAATCTTTTGCAATACATTCTTCAAATATATTCTCTCTCCTTACATACCCATCTCTCTCTCTCTCTCTCTCTCTCTCTCTCTCTCTCTCTCTCTCAGTTACATAGAAGCGTCAAATTGTAAATTACTGAGCGGGGAGACGTCGAATATCTTCAAAATCTGTAGCTAAGAACTTCAAACCGAACAAGGGGAATGATAAGTTGATAACCATACGCATTTTTCCTTCACTTATGTTTAATAATGTTCGATGTTTCCGTTTATTAAATTTGACGGTCTAAAATAAAGAGAGGTTTGTAAGAGGAGAAAAATAGTGTGCAAAAGAGGAGAAAAAGAATAGTAACTTAGGGCTCGTTTGTAAGTACTTTTGAAATGATTAAAATCACTTTTGGAATCAATCTTTAGTAAAATGACAAATGAATCATAGAAAAAACACTATTGTTTCATGGAAGAAGAACACAACCAGTGTTTTTTTTGCAGTAAACACTTTAAGTGCTTTTAGAACCCAAAAAAGTATGTTCTCTAAAAACTTTTAGTCATTTAAAAGTAGTTCCAAACAAGCCTTTAGGCTTTAGTTGTAACTTGTAAATTAGGCTTTTTTAATAAAGTAATGGTTTACACTAAATTATTCTAAATTAAATTTGCAGAGGGTGAGCAAATTATTAGCCTGCGCTCCTTCTGTGAGAGTTCTTCTCCCCTTTTGGTGAGGGTTTCAATCTTGACCACCATCTTAGGCGCCAACTCTAGTTTTGGTTCGAGTCGGTTGCCACTTTTCCCTTTCTTTTGTTTTCTCCTCTTTTTCCCTTCTCTCTTGCTTTTTCCCCCTCCTCCTCATCTTGATTCCCCCTCTTCTTCTTCCCTTGCTGTCATCCCTCTTCCTCCTTCATCTGTGTTTCGATCTTCAGCCACATTTGCGTTCGACTTAGTGCTGCGAGTTTCGATGTTTCGACCAACTCGGGTGTTCCCAACACCACCACCTTCTATTTGTTGTCTGGCAGTGTTGCTCATGGTGATCCACGGGCTTCCTTTTATTGATAACCAACTGATTTCCTTCAGTTTTTGGTTATCCTTACTTTATGGTTGTGCTCGGGAAGTAGATCGGTGTTGGATGATACGATCAGAGAGGCGATATTTGGCGGTGGGCATGGATTTTTGCAGGTTGAGATGCACTGTCCTAGTGGAGGCGGTAGCAGCGGACTTCTCATCTTTTTGTTTGTTTCTTCTGTTTTTGGGGCTCAGCTGTTTGGTTGAGCTTTTTGTTAGTTTGGGGTTTGATCCGTCTTTTGTTTTTATGTTTTCCCGTTATGATCATTTTTGGTTTGTGTATTTTGTCTGTGGGTCAGTAGTTTGTAAATTTGTGTTGTGTGTTTAATAAAGCTTCTTGGTGATCCTTTTGGATCCCACTTGATCAAAAAAAAAAAAAAAAAAAAAACTTGTAAAGGGTGAAAACTCGAGTAGGGGTGGATGTTCGAAATTGCGAAACCGAAACCGTACAAATACCGTTCCTAACTGAACCGGCTCGGTCCGGTTTGATTCATCCAGTGAACAGAAAATGAGTCAATTTTACCCTCTCAGCAACCGATGTGCAACAGCCGAGCGCGGTGAGATATGTCCACTGCCTCATCAGCTCTGGCGCTCCACCTCCCCTTTGCTCCCCCAATCGCCACCACCGCCTCCGCTGCCGCCATCAAACTCACTTACCCAGTAAGCCTTCTGCTTTTATAATCACAACCCAGATAATAAAGTTGCTGCCTTTACTAACAAGTGCAGTCGTAATTAACAGATAAGCAGCTCACGGTGGTCAGCAAGTGGTTTGAGGCTCGTAGGTTCTGCTCATGCAGCAATTTCAGGAAGCGGACAAGGTACATTTTTGCTATGTTTATTGCTTTTGGTTTATTTTTTTGGATTGTTTCGAATTTTAGAATTTCGTAATTAATATTGGGTTTTGTTAAATTTTCAGGAACCTTTGATCCTGAGCTCCGTTCTGTGCTTGAACTCGCCACGAATTCTGAGTTATATGAGCTTGAAAGAATCCTATTTGGCCCTAGGTAACTTCAAAATCGATACTTTCTGTTTGGTTAATGTGAAACTTTGGACTAGAAAAGAAAATTGACGTTTTGCATCGTATTTCTTTTCGTTTTTCAGTAAAGGGGTAGTGTCATTTCTCAATCAAACTAAAGATGTAATCAAATTCAAATTTCGCAGTGTAATGTTGACGTTTTTTTTTTTTTTTTGATCTTTGGATGAGTCAATGTCCAGCTACTTCAGCCCTTTGCTGAAGTCTATAATGAGTAGAACCAATGTTGACTATGCGATGGTTGAAGAGGATCTCCATAAGCGAGAGGAGTTTTTAACAGTATTAGAGTCTCGATTCTTATTCCTTGCAGCCGAAGCCCGGTCTACGATAAGGTTTTTCCTCAACTCGTCTAATTTAAAATTCACCTCGTTAGTTAACTTGTTTGGCGTCAATATTACTCGAGGGCTGACATACCACTGAATTGCGTGTGAAGGGTCCTGGAAATGAAAAATTGTTTCAATTCTGTTTTTCTTTATTAAACTAACTCCTAGTATCATACAATTGTTGTCGAGTTTCATCTTGACCATCCAATTGGTGTGTGTGGAATTCTTGGTAGGGGTTGGAGGCCATCATATAGGAATGTCTTACTTACAGTAAGGAAAGAGTTGAACATTCCTTGCTCGAGCAAATTGTCAACTGAAGACCTTGAAGCAGAGATTTTCCTTCATCTGTTGCGAGACTATTCAAGGCATGTCTTCTATATGTATAATTATATTATATATATAGTACTTTGGACCTTGTTTTTTAGTTTCTCGCTGAAGTAGAAATAAGTAACTTCACTTTTTGATCTCTCTATACTTGTAAAGAAGGAGAGATCGAAACAACATGACCTTTAGGTATGAAAAGTGAATCGTCGGATGTGCTTCTGAAATTTGTGTTGTGAATGTGTAAGGGTAGAAAAGAGTTCATGTCTTGGAAGAGTTGATACATACGTCCATGAGTTGATAGATAGTAAATGTGATTTCAACTACTTGCTGTTTTAGCGAATCATTGTCTTTTAGAGAAAAGGTTTACTTTTTTTTTAATTTTTAAAGTGATGTATTGAAAATCATTCACTTCCTTCATGTAGTGAAGAATCAGGAAATTTCGAGGGCTTGTTGGAGTTCTCTGAGCCATCTGATGGTCAACATAGTCTTCAATTTGGACTCAGTCAATGGAAGGTGCAGGCCCTCAGTGCTTTAAAAGTCGGGGCAGCAGAGCTCCGATCCATGTTTTTGAAGGCAATGTAGCTTTACTACGAAGACTTTATGCACGCTCAATTCTCTCCAACTTAAGTTCATCTCTTTTAATTTTGTTGGTTTATGATTTTCTCTGAAGATAACTCCGCCGTGTAAGTTTATCTTACATTGCCGGTCCCAAGCCCGGATAAAGGAGGAGGGGGAGGGCGTCAGGTAGTCGACAGCCGGCACTCCATGATCACGTCGAATCCTTATGAAAATGAATCCAGAACGAAATCGCGCTAAAGCTAGGGCGTCACCCGTAAGTGGCGCGCTGTGTGGCCTGAGCACAGTGATAAGTGAGCAAGGGTCGCTGTATCTCCATCGGCACCCGGATGCAGTGTTAAATGAGCAAGGGGGCTATAGAAACTTCTTTTCGAACGACTCCACTCAAAGTTGTTTGAGAGCATATGCTCCTATCAACTTTACACGGGACACACAAAAGAAGTACTTTGATCCTATTAGACGGGGAAGGGTGAAGAAGCTAAGACAGAAGGGTAGAGTTCAAGAGAGCAAAATGCGTTTAGGAACGTGGAATATAGGAACCTTGACGGGAAAATCTATGGAAGTAGTAGAAGTTATGGTGAGGAGAAGGATAAATATTATGTGCCTACAAGAAACTAAGTGGGTTGGTCGTAAGGCAAAGGATCTAGAAAACTCAGGGTTTAAACTATGGTATTCGGGCACAAATAGAACGAGAAACGGTGTTGGCATCATCGTGGACAAGACCTTGACACAAGATGTTGTAGATGTCAAGAGGGTAGGAGATAGAATCATGGCAATCAAGATTGTAATAGGACAAGAACTTATCAATGTGATTAGTGCGTACGCACCTTAAGTAGGGTTGGATACGAGTTCGAAGGAGAAATTTTGGGAAGACCTTGGAGACTTGGTGCAAGGAATTGCTCAGACAGAGAAGTTATTTATAGGAGGAGATTTAAATGGACACGTGGGCAGGGAGACATGCAACTATGGAGGTTTTCATGGTGGCCATGGTTTTGGGGAGAGAAACGAGGATGGGGAAGCTATCTTGGATTTTGCAATGGCATATGATCTCTTCTTAGCCAACACCTTCTTTAAGAAGAGAGAAGAACATGTGATCACCTACAAGAGTGGGTCGTTAAAAACACAAATAGATTTTCTTCTAATGAGGAAAGGGGATCGTATAACTTGTAAGGATTGCAAAGTTATACCAGGAGAGAGCGTGGCTAATCAACATCGCTTGTTGGTGATGGATGTACATATCAAAAGAGTGAGAAAAAAGAACAAGACTTGGAAGTGCCCAAGGACTAGATGGTGGAATCTAAAAGAAGAAAAACAAGCCATTTTCAAAAGAGAAAGTAATCACCCAGTGTGTGTGGGATAGAGAGGGGGAAGCTAACCAAATGTGGGATTCCATGGCTAGTTGTATCCGAAAAAGTAGCAAAAGAGGTATTAGGAGAGTCCAAGGGCTTTGCCCCACACCAAAAGGAATCTTGGTGGTGGAATGAGGAGGTACAAGCAAAGGTGAAGGCTAAGAAGGAATGTTGTAAAGCCTTATACAAGGATAGGACCGATGAAAATGGTGAAAGGTATAGAAAAGCGAAGCAAGAGGCGAAGAAAGCTGTGAGAGAAGCTAAGTTAGCGGCTTATGACGATATGTATAAGCGACTAGATACCAAAGAAGGAGAGTTTGGATATCTATAAACTAGCTAGAGCAAGGGACAAGAAGACAAGGGACCTAAACCAAGTGAGGTGCATCAAGGATGAGGATGGAAAGGTTCTTGCTACAGAGAACGCGGTTAAAGACAGATGGAAAGGTTATTTTCATAATCTTTTCAATGAAGGACATGAAAGGAGTGCTTCTTTAGGGGAGTTGAGTAACTCAGAAGAGTGTAGAAACTACTCTTTTTATCGTAGAATCCGAAAGGAAGAAGTGGGTGTAGCTTTGAAGAAGATGAAGCATAGAAAAGCAGTAGGCCCAGACGATATACCAATCGAAGTGTGGAAAGTTTTGGGAGAGACAGGTATAACATGGCTTACTAACCTTTTCAATAGGATTTTGAAAACGAAGAAGATGCCGAATGAGTGGCGAATGAGCACTTTGGTGCCTATCTACAAGAATAAGGGCGATGTACAAAATTGCATGAATTATAGGGGTATTAAGCTAATGAGTCATACAATGAAGCTCTGGGAGAGAGTCATTGAGCATAGATTGAGGCAAGTGACACGGGTTTCGGACAACCAATTCGGGTTCATGCCAGGGCGCTCAACCATGGAGGCAATCTATCTCTTACGAAGATTGATGGAAAGATATAGAGATGGGAAAAAGGATTTACACATGGTCTTTATAGATTTGGAAAAAGCGTATGATAGGGTCCCAAGAGACATTCTTTGGAGGATTTTAGAGAAGAAAGGAGTACGAGTAGCATATATCCAAGCTATACAGGATATGTATGAAGGAGCAAAGACTGCCGTAAGAACTCATGAAGGACAAACCGAAAGCTTTCCCATAACTGTAGGATTACATCAAGGCTTATCCTTAAGTCCTTACCTTTTTGCGTTGGTAATGGATGAGTTAACAGGACATATTCAAGGTGATATTCCTTGGTGTATGCTTTTCGCAGACGATATAGTGTTGATAGATGAAACTCAGGAATGGGTAAATGCAAAGCTTAACCTTTGGAGAGAAGTGTTGGAATCTAAAGGTCTTCGCCTAAGCCGATCAAAGACAGAATATATGGAGTGCAAGTTCAGTGTAAATGGAGGCCAAAACGAGTTAGGGGTGAGGATCGGAGATCAAGAAATACCAAAGAGCGACCGTTTTCGTTACCTAGGATCTATCTTGCAAAAGAACGGAGAATTAGATGGAGATCTCAACCATAGAATACAAGCTGGATGGATGAAGTGGAAGAGTGCATCCGGCGTGTTGTGTGACCGTCGTATGCCACTGAAGCTCAAGGGAAAATTTTATAGGACGGCAATAAGGCCGGCGATGATGTATGGCACAGAATGTTGGGCGGTGAAGCATCAACACGTACACAAAATGGGTGTAGCGGAGATGAGGATGCTTCGTTGGATGTGTGGGCACACGAGAAAGGATAAGATTAGGAATGAGGATATCCGGGGTAAAGTAGGAGTAGCCGAAATTGAAGGAAAGATGAGAGAAAATCGGTTACGGTGGTTTGGACATGTGCAAAAAAGGCCTACTGACGCTCCGATTAGAAGATGCGACTATGGGACAGAGGTTCAGGGCCGAAGGGGCAGAGGAAGACCTAGGAAAACTTTGGAAGAGACCCTAAGAAAAGACTTAGAGTACTTGGATCTAACGGAGGACATGACACAGGACAGAACACAATGGCGTTCTAAGATTCATATAGCCGATCCCACTCAGTGACTTGGATTTTCCAAGTCTCCAACCAAGAAGTTTTCCTCACTCGGGAAATTAAGGGAACACTACCTCAACCTATATGCTCCACTCACAAAGCTTCAACATACAAGCTTCAACAAAAGAAAATTCAAAGAACTTAGCGAAGAAGGCTTTGGTGTATTTAACATAAATACGTTGAAATGAAGGAAAGCTTATTTATTGATATCCCCGATAAGTTACAAATATGTACATATACTTGAGTCAAAATAAACAAACAAGAGGGAGCCTTCACAAAGGTTGCTTAGGAGAAGTCTCAGCAGGCGGTAGAGCCCCAGAAAGAGAAGGCACCGGAGGAGGATCATTCGGAGCCTCAGTACTGGACAAAACCCTAGAAGGAGGAGGCATCAGAGGTTGATCATTTGGAGCTTCATTATGCGGTACAGCCCCAGAAGACGAAGGCAATAAATGCCTTTGGAACAAACCCACAAATCTCTGATGATCAAGTAAAACCTGACCATCAGATTCCTTCATCTGGTCAAGCTTCCTCTTCATGTTTGTAGCATAGTCATGTGCGAGCCGGTGCAACTGTTTATTCTCATGCTTGAGCCCTCTAATCTCCTGTTTGAGACTCATCACTTCAGCCGCCAATGATTCAACTTGGCGGGTTCGAGCAAATAGGCGTTGGGCCATATTAGACACAAAACCTGCACACTGAACACTGAGAGCCAGAGAATCCTTAACAGCCAACTCATCAGACCGTTTGGAAAGTAGTCTGTTATCTTTGGGAGTGAGAAGGTTCCTGGCCACTACCGCAGCGGTCATATCATTCTTCATCACGGAATCCCCAACGGTAAGAGTACCAGTAGGGGAGACGAAGGATGGGCGCCATATGTTGTCTGGAGAAGGCGGGGCTGCCTCTTCAACAAGGTTCAAGTCAAAACGACGGTCGGAGGGGCCAGACATTTTCAAAGGTGTTGAAGAGAGAAGAGGTCGGACAAATCAAGATCTTAGAAGTGCAAGAATGGAGCTTCTACTGGTGGATATTCAAGTGTGCTTTGGAACTTAATGTCAGCCTCTATAAAAATCTGCACTCGACGAAGCTTCAGAAATCGAAGAGGCGCCTGCTCAGAAATCGAAGAGGCGTTTGCTTTCTCAAAAGCTGGGCTGCTCAGAGACCACGAGGGTCGATCTCAGAAATCGAAGAGGCGTTTGCTTTCTCAAAAGCTGGGCTGCTCAAAGACCACGAAGGCCGATCTCAGAAATCGAAGAGGCTTGCTTTCTCAAAAGCTGGGATGCTCAGAGACCACGGGGCCGATCTCAGAAATCGAAGAGGCACCTACTTTTCCAGCCTTGTCAGCACCTGTCACACGCACACTCAGCTTTGCGGAAACTATGGGCATTCTGTCGAAAATTTCTGACGAAGTAGAAAGCACATGAATCGTACTGTTCAATCACCCACTTCCCACACGCAACAGTAGCTCATGGGTACCACAGATAACTTTGCCAAAGTTCTCTGACAAAGTTGAGACACGTGAAGCTTGCAGCTCCCACTACATCGCTCTGACCAAGAAGGGTAAAAGAATTGCAAAGAAACAACACTAACAAAGTTTAAACACATAAATTTTGAAGGTCTAGCTACCATATTATTACCCACAAGGGTAAAGGAACAGTACCACTGCTGGATAATTGGAAAGTCCCGGTGTGTCAACCTCTGTGCTTCGTGGCAAGGTAGACTAGCAAACATGCCCAACCTGTACTCACATTCGAGAAAACACTCCAACAAGATTGCTTGCTCCAAAATCGAAGAGGCACCGCCCTCCGAATCTCGAGAGCCAGACTCCCAACATGATTACTTTCTCAAAAATCGAAGTGAGGGTAAAGGAACAGTACCACTGCTGGATAATTGGAAAGTCCCTGTGTGTCAACCTTTGTGTTTCGTGGCAAGGTAGACTAGCAAACATGCCCAACCTTTACTCACATTCGAGAAAACACACTCCCAACAAGATTGCTTGCTCCAAAATCGAAGAGGCACCGCCTTCCGAATCTCGAGAGCCAGACTCCCAACATGATTACTTTCTCAAAAATCGAAGAGAGGGTAAAGGAACAGTACCACTGCTGGATAATTGGAAAGTCCCTGTGTGTCAACCTCTGTGCTTCGTGGCAAGGTAGACTAGCAAACACGTCCAACCTTTACTCACATTCGAGAAAACACTCCCAACAAGATTGCTTGCTCCAAAATCGAAGAGGCACCGCCCTCCGAATCTCAAGAGCCAGACTCCCAACATGATTACTTTCTCAAAAATCGAAGAGACACCGCTCTCCGAATCTCGAGAGCCAGACCCCCAGCAGGATTGCTTTCTCAAAAATCGAAGAGGCATCGTTCTCCGAATCTCGAGAGCCAGATCCCCGACAGGATTGCTTGTTCGAAAATCGAAGAGGCACCACTTTCCCAACTTCAAGAGCTGGATCTCCTTGGATAAAGCTTGTATGTAATCTTCACACGCAACATCAGCTTTCCAGATACCACAGACCACTTTTTCAAAATGCTCTGACAGGGTTAAAACATGTGAAGCTGGCAGCTCCCACTACCGTGCTATAACCAAGCAGGGTAAAGGAATAGCATTATTACTTGATGTTAGGGAGACTTCTATATATGTCGACCTCCATCCCTAACGGACAGGCAGACCTGCAAAAATGCTCAACCCTTTCTCTTATCTGAGAGGGCACTCCCAACGAAGCCTTTCGAAATATTCAGCTTTCTTTCCCCCCGATAATACCTCTGTAAACAAGCTATACTAGAGCAAGAATATCTCATATCATCAGGGTTAAAAGCAAGAGTATCCCATATCATGCTTTTTCCCTGTCTTTTCCTTTGGCCTTGTTCTTACCTGCAAGACAAGGAGAAAGAGAGAGCAATCAGTCAGCACTTGGAATCAAGCTTCCAGCCAGGAACTGACTGCCTGGAACCCCTTACCTGATTACTTACCTGGCATTGCTCTCGAGTACTCATCTTCAAAATCTTATGCTTCCAGGGAAGATACCGCATCTGCCTGAGGAACAAATAGGGCAAGTGAGAAGGATACAAGGAAGCATGTGGAGACAAGCGTAACAGCACACGTGCCGATACATCCACTACTCTGTCAAAAGCAAAAGTATCCCATATCAGCAGGGTCGAACGTACTCTAGATTTGATGGACTTGTTTTGACCCTCAAATTCTTCAGTCGGCCTTATACTCTGGAGGAAACCAGAAAACCCTCCAGCCCAGTTCAAGAATAAGCCTGTGGAAAGTTACTTCTTCAAAAGCAAAAGTATCCCATATCATCTCTCCTCATTTTTCTTCTCTTTATCCTTCATGCTGCCTGCAAGATAGGGAGAATGTGAACAATCAGCCGGAGCTCTGATTGCTTACCTTGTCTGTCACCTCTTTCAGCAGATCCCCTAGCTCGGCGACTTGGGGGACTCCTACTACATGGTTTGTATCGCGCTTGACCAAACATGAAACTACAAGTAAGCTTCAAGTGAAATTGATACATTACCTTGTGCATCTCCACCAGTTACAGATACCACCCCTGGATGGAGGAAGAGTACTTCCAGAGAAGATGCCACATCTACCTATGAGACAGATAAGGCAAGTCAAGACGATACCACACTCCGGTACTTAGAAGTTTCGTGGCTACGAGATCATTCTCCCACAATATTTCCTAATGTCATTTGTACTAAATCATTCACTTGTACTCATTAAAGGAGAGCTTGAACCTATGTACTTGTGTAAACCCTTCACAATTAATGAGAACTCCTCTATTCCGTGGACGTAGCCAATCTGGGTGAACCACGTACATCTTGTGTTTGCTTTTGTGTAAACCCTTCACAATTAATGAGAACTCCTCTATTCCGTGGACGTAGCCAATCTGGGTGAACAACATACATCTTGTGTTTGCTTTCCTATCTCTATCCATTTATATACTTATCCACACTAATGACCGGAGCAATCTAGCGAAGATCACAAAAAGTGACCGTTTTCGCTACCTAGGATCTATCTTGCAAGAGAACGGAGAATTAGATGGAGATCTCAACCATAGAATACAAGCTGGATGGATGAAGTGTAAGAGTGCATCCGGCGTGTTGTGTGACCGTCGTAGGCCACTGAAGTTCAAGGGAAAATTTTATAGGACGGCAATAAGGCCAGCGATGTTGTATGGCACAGAATGTTGGGCAGTGAAGCATCAACGTACACAAAATGGGTGTAGCGGAGATGAGGATGCTTCGTGGGATGTATGGGCACACGAGAAAGGATAAGATTGGGAATGAGGTTATCCGAGGTAAAGTAGGAGTAGCCAAAATTGAAGGAAATATGAGAGAAAATCGGTTCCGGTGGTTTAGACATGTGCAAAGAAGGCCTACTGACGCTCCGGTTCGAAAATGTGACTACGGGACAGAGGTTCAGGGCCGAAGGGGTAGAGGAAGACCTAGGAAAACTTTGGAAGAGACCCTAAGAAAAGACTTGAGTACTTGGATCTAACGGAGGACATGACACAAAACTGAGCGCAATGGCGTTCTAGGATTCATATATGCCGACCCCACTTAGTGGGAAAAGGCTTTGTTGTTGTTGTTGTATGATTTTCTCTGAAGATACTACCACCCTTCAGAGAAAATCATAAAAAGGTCGTACCCAGTGCACAAGGCTCCCGCTTTACGCAGGGTCTGGGAGAGGTGAATGTAAGGCTAGCCGACATTCACCTCTCCCAGACCCTGCGTAAAGCGGGAGCCTTGTGCACTGGGTACGACCTTTTTATGATTTTCTCTGAAGGGTGGTAGTATCTTTACTTTGGCGAAGATTTATCAGTTGGTAAGTAAGAAAAGAGTATAGTCAAACTGATTATTCCATTTCTTCTCTACATACCTTTAACTATTTTTCCTTTGTGGTAGTTAGCTAGAAAGTTATCTGGGAAGGTGTTCCTAGAAGCTGCCAAGTATCAGCTAAAAAGGGATTTTGTTAGAAGGGTACATCTTCGATTTCACACTTCACAGCTATAAAGGAACCATAAATGAGTTAATTGTTTGGTCACCAGTCGTATGGCTGTACATTACCGTGTTCCTCCTGTGTCTAATATTTTTCAAGGTTTTTACTTCCCTTGCCTTCATGTCACGGGATCTCTCATGTCCGTGTCTGTTTTAACTCTTAGCTTTATGCTAGTTTCTCTCTCATTATTATATGGAGTGTCTCTCTTTGTGATGTTAATGACTTTCCTTTTGTTTATCTAGTTACCCTTCCTTCCTGACATGTAATTCCGTACTTTTTTATTCTCAGGGAGGACAATTAGCTGCTATTAATCTAGAGTCAGGAGCAGCCCTTCTTGCGGCAAAACAGGTAATTATAATTTATATCCCGCAGATGACTCAATTTGTTGCAACTGCTATGTAATGACTTCTTCATGTGATGGAGAATGTGTAGAAAAACTATTGTTTGAGCTAGTGGCATTTTATTTTTCCAGGTCTTAGTATTTATTTCTGCAAAAGTCTAAATCGATTGACGCTTTGTATCACATACTGTTACCAAGGAAACCTCTTTCGTTGTTGTGGTTCAAATATTGTTTTATCCCTCCCATCCCCCGTCCTCTCATTTCAGGATTTCTAATATTGCCATTTTGGACAGGGTTTTGCAGGGGCTACATCAAGATATCTTGGTTTAAGAAGCATGATGGCTTTGCTTGGCCCAGTGTATTGACTCTTCCTACACTTGATTTCTAAAACATCATTATTTCCAGCTTCCCTATGTTTGCTTTTCTGGTTCGTTTGCGACTTTATTTCACACACGCCCTCCTACTCATGGCCGCCGCCACACGGGTACACACTCACAATATGTATCATTTCATTGTTCCTTAATCAAAGTATTACTAATTTCTATGAAGTAGAATAAGGAGGAAAGTTTAGATAGGTGCCGTTGATGCGCATAAAAGTGAAAAGTTAGTCACTTCTCAGTAAGCAAGAGTTATTTTGGGTGAAAAAAGACTCATGTTACCGACATTTAATCGAGTGTAGATTTGCTCAAACCATTAGCTGACAGGTTGAGATTAAGCACTGCCTTTCCTCAAGTAGCCCGATGCTTCAATTTTTTATGATTAAGCCAACCGTGCAACAGCTCATTGCTGGTTTTGATGATCTTCAAGATTTTGCTTTTTACCGTTCCGAATAATTTTCCAGCAACTGTTATTAATCTATTTCTTTTGGCTTTTTGTGCAGGCTTTGGGGAACATTTTTGGCAGATGTTGTCATTCAAATGCTCGGAACTGATTACGCAAGAATCTTGCGGGCAATTTATGCTTTTGCACAGGTACTGATTTTTCCTCCTTCGGGCAGGTTTGACACCTTGTCAAACACTAGTTGTTCCTCGAGCCCTATTTGCGAGAATATTGCTATTCATTTTGTTCTGATTAGTCTTATTGCTTCTGCTTCAGATCCGTATCACTGGAACATATAGGCTACCGCCTGATTGCTGAAAGGCTTTACAGTTTGCGAAGATGCATCCTTTTCGACATCCATCAAATAGTTCCGGAGCATGAAATGGATCCCAAGCAGCATTCACACCGAAGGTAAATGGGGACGGCCTGTCATCACTTTAACAAGAGACTTGTGTTCAAGATGAATTACACTGTCACAGTCTGCTTCTGTTATTATTTTTTCAATGTGTAATATACCTAACGTTGAAGCTGAAAAGATTATCGACTTCATGGTAGTTTATGTATGCCATTTTAACATTAAAAATTAATCTCAGAAAAAGAAATGAAAAGAAGATGCATGTAGATCATTATGCATGGAACTTGAAATGGAATTAGTTTCGGGTAGCATTAAGATTCTAAAGGGCGCTAGTCGGGTAAGGGACAAAGGCATAGCGTCTAAGCGGGGCCTAGGCTGTTTTTTTTTTTTTAATTAAATTTATTGTATAGCATGAATAGAATGACATATAATGACATAATTGTATTGGGTACATAAATTACAAAATAAAATGACACATAAATTATAAAGTAACATACTGAAGACATGGGAACAAACATATAATTAGTGTTCATCTACGTATCCAACAAGTTTCTTTCAATTTATTGAAAAAAAAGCGCAAAATGGAAGTAACTTATTTTCTGTCTAAGTGAGAGTTGTGACTTAAGCGGGCAGGCGCCTAGGCAAAGTTTAAATTCCATTATTTATTTATTTTTAAAACACATAGGAATTAGACCATTTGCCTAACGCCAAGCACTGCGGAAACTTTTAGAACATTGGGTAGCATAGAGCTTAGGGGTCATTATCCCAGAGTTGGTCGAGTGACTTGCAAGGTCCGGTTTCGGAAACAAAGAACTCTGCGGAACACAGCCTGCGCTGGGGAATCTGCTTGATCTTGTTCATTTCATCTTCATTTAGTTCCCAATCGAATATGTCAAGGTTCGGCTTCATCCGCTCCTTGTTGAAGGTCCTCGGAACTGCACTTGCTCCTTGCTGGACGATGGATCTCAGTATAATCTGCATGAACACAACCAAGTTAATCTGTCCTAGTTTCTGTATTTATAAACTAATTAACCAACAAAATCGGAAACAAATATTACCTGTGGCACAGTCCTCCCTTTGGCAGCAGCGAGGTCCTCGAGAACGGAATAATCAATCCCAGCATTGTTAAGCTGAGGAGTTCCATAAAGTCCCAAGGGAGACCACGCAGTCACATGAATTCCTTTCTCTTTACAGAAGTCTCGCAGTTTTCCTTGCTGCCACGAAGGGTTCATTTCGACCTGGTTAACCGCCGGGGGGATGGTGGCATTGTGAAGGATTTGAGAGAGCTTTAAGGTGCCGAAATTGCTAACGCCAATAGACTTGGCTAAGCCTAACCTGGAAATTTCTTCCATGGCCGCCCATGTCCCCGTTATATCAAAGGGTATCATATCTTCTTTAGTTAGTTCAAATCCTGGGACTCCATGTTTCAGCCTCAACGGCCAATGAATCAGGTACAGATCCACGTACTCCAGCCCCAGCCTCCTTCATATATATAGATCAATAATGTGAACTCGAACTGGAGACATCTTACAATGAAAGAAAAATACCTATATATTCTGTATTTGAGATTGTTTTGTCAATTTCTGGATTTGGAAACATTGAAGAAAGGAATTGAATGCACTTGAAGAAAGTGTGCTTCGTATTTTTGTGCAAGAAAGCTGCTGCTCAAATTATTGCAGAGCTCAGCAAAATCACGTTCCCTAGTAAAAAATCCTTGTCACTGAATTCAATCAAGCCACACACACTAGATCATCTATAACGACATGACACTTGGCTAACATCTAGGACATATAAGTCATACATGGATAGATTGTATCTCAACTTTACACTTGTCTTCGTGACTCAAGTAGACCATTGTAACTTGACTCAAGCAACCAGAAAACATTTCACTTTAACAAATACCACTAAACTAACAGCTAGTTGAGTAACAGCCTATTAGGCAAATTATATAAATATTGAAAAGCTTTTCATCGCACTTGCTGCCTATGATTGAGTTTTGGTTTTAATAACTCGCTAGATTTAGCGTATGCTGAAGTAAGAAACAAAAGTCAACGTTTAAATTTTGTTCAAGATTAATCGCAAAGGAAACTTATGGCTTCCGACTAATCCATGTTCTGTGTTCAACTTTCGAACAGAAAAAATTTATAAGTTTGACCTCTATTTTTCTTTCAACGTACTTTTAAAACTAACAAATTATCCAATCTAATCTAATCAAAAGCATGAAACGTGGCCCTTATATGTATATATAGGTTTGTATAGATAGGTTACATACTGGAGTGAGGTTTTGAGGGCTGGGAGAACACCATCAGGATAAGCATCAGTACACCACAGCTTGGAAGTGATGAACATGTCATCCCGGTTCTTGATAAGACCTCGCTCTTTCGCTCGGACCACGGCTAGACCGACGGCTTCTTCGGTTTGGTAGAAAGCGGCAGTGTCGATATGGCGGTAGCCGGCCTCAATGGCATCGACGAGAATGGGGACGAGCTCATCAGTTGGTGTTGGAGGCACTTTACCTGTCCCTAACCCAAGCACTGGCATCTTGTGGCCTGAATTTAGCACCACTTCCGGTACTAATTTCTTTGTGCTACTATTAATTATAGTCTCCTCCATTGATTAGTTCTGATCAATTCAATATTTCTGATGATGCTAATGATCAACTACGGCACCCATATATATATATCTACTAATTAATAAAACACTCATTGTCAAGCAAAATCCTATAAAATTATATGTTTAACCATCTAATTAAAATAGAACATGAATAAGAAATATGAGGCATAAATGTAATTCCATACAACCAAATTTTGCTTTTTTTTTTTTCAAATCCTCACCTACATGTAATCCTAACATATCTTTAATTAAATTTAAAAAAAAAAAAAACTTCTCATTTCCACATTCTCTATCACTCTCTTCCTCTCTCCTTCTATTTCAAAAACAAAAATAAAATTTTTTCTCACACACTTATGCTAGTGTGTGTGTGTGTGTGTATAATAGGAAGTCGGGATCCCTTTTTTTCCTTTTTAATCTTATTTATAAAAATGAAAATTAGTTGTAAGGCTCACACCACATCGAATTTTAATGATTCAAACCGTTTATTTTTTCAAATTGCACCTTATAAATATTCCTTGCAAAATTTTAGCCAAATCAGAAATATTTGAGGCATGTAATTGAGTTCAAAAAAATTGACGAACACTTTGATCTCTAAGAAATATTGAAATTTCACCATGATAACTAAATAGGCAAATTACTTCGGATTGAATTGAATATTTGCAAAGGATGATCTGTGAATCGAGTATTACAAAATAAACGGTTCAGATCATTGAAGTTCGATGTAGAGTAGGTCACACACATATATATATATGTACATATAGAGTTTAAACTAGAAACGAAGAATAGAAGAAGCAACAATACAAAAATAGTAAACAACAACAAAGTCTTATCCCACCAAGTGAGTTGGTTGTATGAACCCTAGAAAGTCAATGTGTTCGGTTTTGCGCCAAGTTATCCGTTAGCTCTAGGTACTCCATATTTTTTTCTAGAATCTCTTTCCAAGTCTTCATATGTCTTTCTCTACCACTTTTGTTTTGAGTTTCTATCTCATAATCACATCTTTAAATCGGATCATATGTACGTCAACGATTCATACAGTGACGGAGCCAGAATTCTAAATGAGGAGGGGCCTTTCACAAATATGTGTGTGTGTGTGTGTGTGTGTGTGTAAAACGTTGAATTCATAACATGTTGACATATGCAATTTGTGTAATCCTCACAAAACTAAAAAAAATCTCTTAAATTCAATACTAAGAAGAAAAAAATGTAAAAACCCAGACAACCAAGTAAGAGGTAGGTTGTGGAAGGCTAAAGAAAATACAAAGAAGTACAAGAAGGAAAAGGGGGACATGTCTGCAAATAAAGAAGGTGAGTTGCTTTAGAAAATTATAGGGTGTATATTATTATTAGGTGAGAGAATCGAACCAGAAGTGGCGTTGCTTTTTCCATTTAAAATTGCACATCTCTTTTAAAACTCCCTTGCCAAACTTATCATTTCATTAGACAGCCGAAAATATTTAAAATCAAAACAGTTTAACGACGTCATTTGCTTTATCTTCTTCCATGAGGTTCACACCTCAGATGAAGTTAGAATGGACCGGGAACTATCCTAGTCCCTTGGTGGCTCTGCCCCTGAATTGATACGTCCAAACCAACTTAATTGATTTTCCCACCTTAGCTTCAATTGAGGCCACACTTTTCTTATGCATAATTACACCCACATTTTTCCCAAGCCACCACGCCAGCCGTCCGTATAAATTCAGCTGTCCATTCAAATGGACAAGGATCCTCTCCGATTCTTTTTGTGGGGATCCAGGATCAATCAATCGTGTTCATTTATCGTACATCGTATAGTCAGTTTTCGTTAGATACTATTTATATTTAATTTTAAATTAAAATTTTAAAATAATTTCTAACCGTACGATATACGATAAACGGATACGATTGATTGATCATCCATATTCCCACAAAGAGGATCCTATTCCCATTCAAATTGTTATTCCAACAGTAATTTAAAAAAAAATTTATCCATAAGATAATTTCAATAAACCAAAGCAGATACAAAGGCCGAGTCACTGGCCACAAGCCAGGACCCAAACAGAAGCTTACACCAAAGGGAAATAGGAAGCTTGGGACAACAGTACTATATATTATACAATATAGCAACCAGTCAGCATGGCATCGGCAGCTAGTGGTAGTGGGTGGGGGTGGGGATATGCCTTTCTGGTATAGCATTGACTGTTTGGGCTGCTAGTTTGTTATATTTATTATGGAATGTGATATCCATACACCCTATTTTACTTCTCACACATCTTTCTAATTTTCAGCCGTTGGATCGGATGGATTGAAGAAGATCAACTGGCATAAATTAACAAGGGGTGTGTGAGAAGTAATTTTGGGTATATGGATAACACACTCCTTTATTATACTAATGCCAATTTTCTAACCTTTTTTGTTTATTCATAAGGTAATATACAGTACTAATCAGTTGTACTGATTAGATAATTATTTATTTATAATGTATTCATTTTACTTGTAACTGAGAGGTTTTAAGTTTGATTTTTTACAAAATGAATTCGAACTAAATTATTTTGACTATCCTATTATGAGGCTAATTCACTCTCCACTGTAAATAATACCGTATGTATGAAAAAATAATATAGTTCATAATCGGTGAGACGCGCACATTGACAAAGTCAACAATTTAAACAAATGGTAATGTTAGGTAAATTAGATGAAACGTGCACATTAACAAAGTCAACAATTTAAACAAATGGTAATGTTAGGTAAATTAGATGAGACGCGCATATTAACAAAGTCAACAATTTAAACAAATGGTAATGTAACAAAGTCAACAATTTAAACAAATGGTAATGTTAGGTAAATTAGGTTGAGAACTCAGTGAACGACACTCATAAAACAACTTAGCAATAAGGACGGACGTACAATGAGGCAATGTAGTCTGAGGACCATTTGCCATTTGAAATTTGGGAAACACATGTGAAAGTCTTTTATGGATCTTTCGAATATTTCGTACGAATCTCTTTTGTATACATTAGGTGTTTAATGTAATGCATGCTTAGCATATTTCTATAGTAGTTGGTAAGTACGTCGACAACACTCAACAAATGCTCTCAATTGCAATCATAAGATAAATTTGGCAGATGCCGATATCTATTTATATGTGTGCTACACATAGTTCGACTGATAACAAAAGCTCAATAAGTGTTCAACAAAATATCTTAGTGAATAAACTAAATTTTTTTTTCATGCTTTGCGCTTTGTTTCTATCTAAAACTTTTAACACTAGAATCCTCAAAATTTGAATCCTAGATTTGTCGCTGAGTGATCGACAAACATATAAATGCACAAAACTTACAACTCAAAAGTGTCCCGCTGTAGATTTTTTTGGGTATTCTGGGATTTTGGGTTCAAAATGAATTTTGGGGTTGGATCTGGTTTTGAGGATGGAACAATTCTAGATTTTTCTGCTATTTTGTTTCCATTTTGCCGGATCTGGGCTTGAAAATGGTTGTGTTTGCAGAGGCTCCGCGGAGGGATTTATCGAGCCTTCTCTCATGGCTTCGCAAGTACAATAAGAAGAAGATGATTTGTAGAAAGTGCTATACTGTCTGCATCCAAAGGCACTAAACTGCAAGAAGAAGTGTGAAGGACACGAGCAGAGAGCTATGCGAGCAGCATGAAGCATGAAGCATGTCTTAATTAGCTAGTCCCCTGGTTTTCAGGGACTCTAACTAAGAACCTCTAGGGACGCCCTTAGTCTAGGCAAGTCCCGCTGAATCTCATTAATGTTAGTCCCGCATGATAACAAACGCTTGACCACAATAATAGTTAGTCTAGTCTAATCTAACGAAACTTAGGGAAGCTAAACAAACGGGCCCTTAAAGAGTTATTAGAATGTGGTATTACATAAATGGGCTCTTCTGCACACTTGTTTTTATAAGAGTGTATGAATGTAAATGCCATCGGCTAGTTGTGATTTGCAAGCATTTATTTTATTTTTATCTTTGTACATTGAGATAATTAAAGTGGCCCTAGCCTACGTGAATTTAAGCTTCCTTTGGTATAGAAGATTGATCTGAACAATAAAACATTATTTTCAATGTACATTGAAGGAAAAAATGAAAAAATTGTGATCAACTTCGAGGTAGAAGATATATTATTCAAAAAGAAAACTTACAAATTTCAATTCTCTAAGGCTCCTTTTAATCCTCTAAAAATGAAAATTCTTTCTCTTCTACCTTCAATATGCTCTGAATTTGAGCCTTAGAGATGCTGTATAATTGAAAGATTTTGTATCACAGTTCAGAAAAGAATAGCCTAACCACATCATGCCGCCCGTTCGTCGCATTTTATATGCGAGAAATGATCTAGAAGTAGAAACACCAAGCAGATTAATATGTCGTTTTTCAACATCAGGACCTCCGGCTAGTTGTTAGTATAAGGCTGTCACTTTGTACCATGACAAATATAATGCAGACAAATTGAGATGCTTGACATTAACAAGAGAAAGAGATGGACAAACAGAGACGGCTTCTAGTTTCTTTATAAAACTAAAGAGTCCGTGCATGTTTAATCGTATACTCACTGCAATTGATTGAGATTAATCATAATGCCCTCGTCTAAAGCTATTCCTAACTCGATTCTGGTGCTGAGGATCTTCACTCTTTTATCATTAGTTGGTTCCGGGGTGCTGCTCGTTCTTGATAACTTCACACTTGAGGATGGTACCGAAACACATTTCTATGATATCCTTTCATTCAGGTACGTATTAGATGTTGGATAATAGAATCAGACATCGGAGATACAATAAAATTCACAATGTTATATATGGGAGAGGGTCACTATTCATTTCACCAAGTCACCGACGTCTAGGCCTAAAATTTTTATCATTAATTAATAGTAATCATAACGCTTATATCTTTTCTTCGAAACAAATAAAATTCTCAATCCTTTTTTATTTCTTTTGTACAAACTTTGTATTTCCGGATTTTATGTCTTGATATATAAGATTAAAATGGCTACTGCAGGTTTATGCTCTCCACAGCAGCAATTGGAGCAGCATACACGCTATTTCAGTTACCTTTCGGTATATATTATGCCCTCACCGAAAAGAGGTTGATACGTAACGAATGCATGCCGCAGTTTGATTTCTACGGTGACAAGGTCCGGACTCCTCTTCATTCCTAATTCATTTTTCTTAGATGTGCAAAAGGTTTTCGAATTATCTCCGGTAGATTATAGTAGTTTATAATCTCATTTCGTAAGTTGTAACAAGAAAATCTCAATTCATTTAATAATTAATTCTTGGTTTTTTTTTATTTTTTTATTTTTTGCATGAGATTGACATGGAAATACGTACGTGTGCATGCATTGGTGAGCTTGCTTCTACCTTCGGGTGTGGGAGCTGGTTTTGGTGTGGGTTTTGATTTCAAAAAATTCCTCAAGTTTATATTTCCAGTGCTGGCAGCACCAGGCGGCTTTCCAGAGTCAGAGTTGGATGAAGCACAATCCAAGAATAGTAGCTTCTTTGACAAGGCAATTATTGCTACTGGAATTTTGTTGTTTGGAGCCGTTTGTATGTCTGTCGTTTCAGTGCTTTCTTCCATCACTCGAACCTCCAACAGAGGTTACTTCGGATAATAACAACTTAATATTTATTAATTTCCCAACAATCTTAATCAAATGAGATATACTTTTTTGTATTTGAAGCCGGATCCACTTATCAAGTTAAATAAAGATCTTGCAACTTATCAACTTCATTGTTTCTTTAACGGATTTGGGGGGTTACTACTGTTAATGTTGATTTGTTTGATTTCCTCTCTTAATCTACCCAAATAAATCTGTATTCATTTCATCATTTGCAGTCATTTATGTTGATTTCTTTCTCTGTTGTAATGTATACGTTGTTGTATCGAATAAAAAAACTCAACAAGATTCATTTGCAGTCATTTATGTTGAATTCTTTCTCTGTTGTAGTTTATACATTGTTGATTTGGGGGTTACTACTATTATTTTAAGGGCTTGTTCGAAAGTTATTTTAAAATAACCACAATAAGTGGTCAAGTGGAAATTGGTAGAATTCCAAGTCAGAAATTAGGGATCATCAAACCATGGATACTTCATATATCACCGCCAGTCACCACCACAATTAACACATATCTATACTTAAATGAACCTCTATTTAACTAAATGAGTACCCATTGACCATCCCTGGTCTTGGGTTCCAAGCACAAAGCTGACAAAAATACGAGTGATCCCTGGTTGAAAATTTTAGAAGAACGTGTGTTATTTGACTGTTAGCCAAAGGTGGGCTTAAATGCCTTTAGCCTTTCTGAGCCTCATTGAAATAATGAGTCACCATTGATATATATCAACACATATGAGATCACCAAATGTTTGGGAGTTCCTCTATGGGTATTAGTCCTACCCTTCAAGGTGTGGAATACCTCAGGCTTCAGCAAAAAAAAAAAAAAAAAAAAAAAAAATCTTTTAAAATAACTAAATGCACTTCTGAAAATGTTTGGTAAAAATTAAAAGTGGTTTAGTATTAAAAAAAAGGGGTGTTTTGATATAGACCCCTCATTTTAGGCTTCTTAGATTAAACATCTATTCAATTTAACAATTTGATTAAACATTCTCCTACAATTTTGGTGCCATGTGTATTTTAATTAACCCATTGTAACGTACCTAAATTACATATTTTGCCATAGCCTTTAACATATCTCTTTGCCGTATCCAGTTTCTTCACCCCAAAATGCACGCAAGTTTCCTAGATTCTTGCTAACTATGTCTCAGAGTTTTAATCCGAGTAGAATACTTGTTGAATATCAGAAGGATTTGAATATAAGGATATTAATAATGTTATTTTTCTAGTGAATTTTATTTTCCAACGACACTTCCTTCCTATGAACGTACCATAAATTTCATAAGTCTTCTTTTCGTACCGAGGTCGACGTTGGTATTCAGGTTCCAGTTACTGATTTTTATTCAATTATCAGTTGGGTGCATTGATTTTGATTGTCTTTCGAAGTCGAAGGATTTGATTAAACGAAAAAAATAAAAGATGAAAACTTAATTAATCTAGGTATAGCTGAAGCTGTTATCGAGTTAAAAAACATGATTCACACGTTAGGGTCGATGCATGTTGTGTATTAGCCAAATTATTAATTATGGTTTTAGTATTAATTGAATTAAGAATCCCATATGGAGCTTCGGTTGGATCTCAGATCCATCCAACTTGTTAGGAGTTACACCGCAACGTACGTAGCTAGTATAAGAAGTTGAGGGTCCTGAGCAAGGCTATGATTAGTACATTATTAATGTTATGCTGACTCATATTGGACTGCGACTTTGTAATGTACCAGTTAACATTTTTAATTTGGTACATTATTGGACTGCAACTTTGTAATGTACCAAGAGTTTGGTATGTCATTTAATGTTATGTTGACTCATATTGATCGTTTGGTACGTAAAGTTTTTATTTTTGAAACATATTTGTCTGGAAAAACGTTATCAGTGTGTGTTTGTAATGTACCAAGAGTTTGGTATGTTACTTAATGTTACACATACTCATATTGATCGTTTGGTTCATGATAGAATGTTAAATTAGATCATTTAAGGCGTTTGGTACGTAAAGTTTTTTTATTTTTGAAACTTATTTGTTTGGAAAAACGTTATACAATGTGTGTTTGTAATTTACCAAGAGTTTGGTACGTTACTTAATGTTACACTGACTCATAATGATCGTTTGATTCATGATATAATATTAAATTAGATCATTCTAGGCATTTGGTACGTAAAGTTTCAGTAATTTTTGAAACTTATTTGTTTGTAAAAACATTATACAGTGTGTTTGTAATGCAACATGAGTTTGGTACGTTACTTAATGTTACACTGACTCATAATGATCGTTTGGTTCATGATATAATATTAAATTAGATAATTCCAGGCATTTGGTACGTAAATCTTTTTTTATTTTTGAAACATATTTGTCTGAAAAAACGTTATACATTGTGTTTGTAATGTACTAGGAGTTTGGTACGTTACTTAATGTTACACTGACTCATAATGATCGTTTGGTTCATGATATAATATTAAATTAGATCATTCAAGGCGTTTGGTACGTAAAGTTAATTGCATAGGGGCAAAGTTATACTCACTGGTCATTAGCTCCCATCAAAACGAGATTATACAAAGAAATTAGACTAAAAGCTAGAAATGGTTGACGCCATTGGGCTAGTATCGATATATGTAGTAGGCCAACTAAGAAATGTGGTTCTCTGTTCGGAGGCTTTGATTTTGAAAAAAAAAAAAAAAAAAAAAAAAACCTGAGTAAGAGACTTTCATAGATGGGATTGAATTAAAAAAACGTGGGAGAACCGGCTTCCTAAAGAATAGGCACGTACAGAAATATATCTACATAAAAGGATATATATGAAATTTAATAATTAATATATTAAATTAAAAAAACACAATAATGATTTGTAATCTAAATAAATATAAAAATGTTGACATGACTATTGTTTAGGTGTCCTAATCAAATTTTGTATTATAACCAATGTTTAATCTAAAGAGGATTATAAAAGTGATGGGGATTCTAATTTTCCCTAAAAAAAAATTACTTCAAGTACTTTATGAAAGAAACACTTAATTAAAGAAATATCTCCAAACGGGCCTTAAGTCCATGAGCCATTTGCAAGCTTTGAGTTTAGAAGTTGAGCCCAGCATCTTGAGGCTTTTAAAGCCCAAAATAATTTGTGTTTATTTATTTTATATTTGAGAAAATAATTTAGAGTTGAAGCTGTGATTGTGACATAGGACCATCCCAGTTCCATCTCAAATTCTACTGGTTACGTGAATTAGAGGCTACAATGTACAATTGCTCTCTCATTAGTTTATTTTAATAAAAGAAGGAATGGGGGAACTTTGATCTTTCGGATTTGATGCTTTGACTTTTGGAATTGCAGAGGCAGACTTCTCTTTTTGGATTGAAAGATTAAGTCTTCCCCACTCACGTGGTTTGTTTCTTGAATTATCACTGTATAATCAAACTTTTTAAGGGAGAAATTTGGGTATGGAGAAGAAAAGATGCCAAATTAGTGGGTCCCTACGCCCTACTTGAAATTTGATGATTAGGGTTTGTTGGGGCCAACTTTTCCCACATCTCTCTGATTTCATATATCTGATAACTTCAAATGAAAAAAATGAAAGAAAACTTGCAAACATAGCTTAACAAATCCATGACCTTTAGATCCTTCCCTGCAAAGCATATGTCACATTCATATATGGAAGCTTTTTGGTTGTAAATACCACCTTTGTTTAATTGGGTTATCTTTATTCTTTCTAGTGTATGTGACAGGTTACCACTTGGAACTTCTATTGGGGTATACACTTTGTGTTTGCTATCTCTGCTTTCCTTTAGCTACGATGCTGCACGAACCATGAAAGCATCAAAGTTCTATTCTTTTTCCTGCCAGATGATGACACATACAACCAGTGATAGGATGCCGGAACACGTGTCGGATGCTTGCCTTGATTTTGTGCTACTTCGGTTCACCCTTGTGTGAGCAGATCCCCTTACTTTATAGATATTTGTCTTTCATGTGGGAGGAATGAGGATCCACTACCACTACCATGGTTGAAAGCCTTGAAGCCTTGAAGGTGATGGAGAGAGGCACATGGAGACTATAAAAGGCCATCTTCCTATAAAGGGTACACATCACAACCAAAAAGATAATAAAGAGAAAAGAGATGAAAAGAAGAGAAAAAAAGAAGCTAGGCAGAAGAAAAAGAAAGAGAGAAAGAACAACCCACGCTCCCATGTTCTACTAACTAGATATTATTAATTGTGCCTTTAAGTTTGCCCACATGAATATAAGTTTATATTTTTCCTAGTTGGCAAGAATAAAGGAATCATACATTCCATGTTTAAAGAGGAAAAAGATGAGAAAAATAGAGTATAGGGGAATTAAGTTGGAGAAAGAGATAAGATTAAATTTCTAGATGAGGAAGCTTATCAGTTAAAAATTGTTTTTCTAGTCATCGAGTGGTTATGAAAAGCATGATCGCTCATCTTTAAATTTGATATCAAGAATGAAGAATAATTAAATGTACTTTAATTTAATGTTTTAATCTTAACCTTTGATATTAAATACAAATGCGAATGACTATGAATTCTTGATCAATTGGTGACCAACATAATGAAACTCCAATCTAGCTTAAGCCAAACCTAACTTATGTTGGGAAAAAAGGTCTCTTTTGTGGAAGAAGTGATGACAAACCTTTGGAAAGAATTCACTGGCAATATTGATATCTGTCCCTTTCTTGTTTGGCTCATGTCCATTATGGGTAACTGAAACTAATCTTTAGCTTTTCTAGCTATTGCAATACTCTTTACCCGAACCCACACAATTCCTTTGTGTCTGCTATGTCTCACTTGGTGCGTTTGGAGAGGTAGCATTATCACCATCAATCATATAATTGAATTATGTGCATTCTTAATATCAAGACTACAAATTTTTATTTTAAAAGAAATTTGAATTCTTTAAGTTACAGAAATTATTATAAAGCTGTAATGGTATATGATGCTATACAAATATGTACAAGTATGATGCCTACGCATACGTATGCACTAGCTAATC